CCAGTATTGTTAAAAAAAGATGGGGGGGGGGGGTGTGTGGTTTTTTCCAGGTCAAATTACCCAAAAGAACTCAATCATTCAAAAACCATATTGATTGAGTAGGCAGAACTCAATCATTCTAAACACCATGTATGGTGCTACAACCAGAGAGTATCCTCCACCCCAGGCTTTCACCCTGGGACTTCAGATCCTCCCAAATCCATTGGCAGACATCCTATACGTAGGCCCAAACCCAGAGGTTTGGGGATTTGGATGTCCCCACTCAATCTGAGCCAAAAGGCTGGCAGACAGAGACACCCATGGATTCTTTCATGCTACCCCTAACTTTGCCATCCCCTCCCCCAACCTGCCTGTTTTGCCAAACAGTGGAGTGGGGGGCACAGAGTGAGGAGAGAGGTGGGTTTATGGTTAGAGAATTACTTTGCAGGTATCCACACGATCTCTAGTAAGACAGCTGGAGTTCTGGCACCAGGACTGTTAGGGATGGTAGGGACAAGGAAAGCAGTTTTCTTCATTCCTGCGGTGCCCAGGGCTCTTGCTGCCAGCTGTTGCTTTTTGGCAGTTGCCAGCTGCTCACTGAGAACCTGCCCCCTTCCCTGGCAAGGGAGAGTGCAGGCTGGTAATGTCTGGGCTCTCCTGGGTGGTGGGGAGGAGGGGGCAAAGAGCACCCCACTGTTGCCCCCTGCCTAGAAAGCTCACCTCTGAGGCAGCTTGTAGCTCTTCAGCCAGGGGTCTGGAAGTCCAGTACACTCTCCTTGCCATATTTTCATAGCACTGCAAGTTACCACACTGGCTATACCCCAAAGCAGCATTGTGAAGCATCTCAGTTATTCCTGTTTCATCCCAAGTAACTTTTTAATATGTTTTTGCTTGATTTGTAGTGCTATAACATAATGCATCAGCTGTCCACTCCATTTTTATAGTACTTTAAAGTTATTTAAAGCGTTATAAATGCCATGTTGGTCCATGTCCTTGTTTAGACCAGTGGGTTATACAACCACAAGGATCTTGGAAATGCAATTACTGTCCTAAGGCCAAGATT